ACTCCTGTGGTTTTGTGACCATCTCCCACATAATGTTAAGCAGACACACAAGTGTTTTGACTAGATGGCAACCCCAAGTTTGTACATATTCGGAGGAATGCCATCTGTGCCTGCTTCCTTGCCCTGGGACATCTGTTCAGTAGCTCTAAGAGCATCTGCTCTGAGTACTGGTGCTGCTCCTTGAAAGAGGCTGTGGGGCTTCATTTGGCACTTGTTCAGGGATGACGGAAGTTGTAAAGTCAGAATGATAGCTCTGCTTTATTTATGTTTGAACGTGATAAAGGGGAAGATTTCCAGAACTGAATGCAAAAAGTGGTTTTGCCTTAGTTCTTAGAGCTCTTTTTGGAGCATTTAATGGGTATTGTGCTTACCAGATGGTGCTCTGTCTTCATTGTGGGATATTTTAGTGTCTCATGATAGGTGTTAGCTTCATAAAGATCAGGGAAAAAAAAGTGCTGTATAAACTAAAGATATTCAGAGGGACATACATCCCAGAGCTCTTACTGAGGTCTTATCTTATTTGTAGTCTGTGAGCCCTCACTCCTTTGGCCACTTCCACAACCTGACAGCAATAAAATCTTTGAATGAAATGTGATGATGTTTGTCATAGATTAAGATCACTGCTGTGGTTGATATGATGATTCTTCAATGCAGATGGTAGATTAAGCCAACTCACCTTATAGAAATACTTTGCTTTTTCTGCTACCTGGTGTCTTACTTGTTCTTATTTAATATTGATAATGACTTTTCCAGTGTTGTTGGTCATTACATCTATGGCAACTGTTTCCAACTTAAAGTATACTTTTTAGGCACCTTTTTCTTCTGGAAGTGAAATGAGCTGTCTAATGCCCAGTTAAATATTCACTATGGTTGTGACTAAAAGAAGAGGAGGGGGAAACAAACAAAACACAGGTTTTATCCTCTCATAACAATATTAGCGTGTGAGGTACCCATAGGGGTTGCAAAAGTTACCAGAAAGAATTGTAAAGCTTCTTGAGTTGATTGTGGAATAATATTGTCCTTGTGTGAAGCACATTGCTTGATCTTAAAATATCCCAACTTTTTTGATGTGCATAAAATTAATCTGAATTTAGCAACATGTTTTTCTCTGACACACTGAGATTTGAACGAGAGACTGCGGACAGACCTATGAAAAGCATTTGAATTCTATAATTGTATAAAAGAAGTCAGCAGTAGCTTACATGCTTCGCAGATATGGAAATTCTAGTAGTGGGAAAATTGCAGCCAAGGTCATGTTGTTGTTGTTCCATAAACAGCCAACTTTCCTAATATATGTCTTCTAAGAATTTTATCTGTCAAAATGCATATTACTTTTGATCAAGCCTTTTTAAAAAATAAATCCTTATCAAGAAATAACAAATAAAATAAGAAACCATCACTTGGTGCCAACAAGTTGGCAAGTAGATTACTGTTTCACCTCTCTGTTCAGTGGAAAAGGTCTTGAGGAGGTTAGCAGGAGACTGACTACAGCAGCAAGTTGACACACAGGCTTCATGCAGATGTGATTCAGGAGCAGAACTAGTTGTAATACTCAGGGATCTCCCTTGGGCTTTTGATATGGATCTCATGGCAGCATGGAAAGGTCACACTTGCCTACTGATGATCCATCTACTCAGGCGGTCCCAGATGCTGCAATCCCTTTAGGAACCCTGACTCATTCTGTTCCTATGTTTTCTTTTTCCTTGCAAAATACCTACAAAACACCTGTTGGAGATTAGTTAATTTTTTTGCTGTATGATAGCTTCTGTTAATTTCCCTCCATTGTTTACCTGTTGGTTTATAGTAGATAAAAACTTGTGCAATGGCATTTCAAGTGAAAGATGAGATAGATATTAAAAAAAAAAATCCATTTATTTTCTTTGGCTTTACTAATTTTTTTCTCACAGGTTCATGATTTCTTGCCTGAGCTTATGTTTTTTCACTCATTTGTCTTCCGTTCCCTGATTTGCAGATTAGAACTTGAACATAGAGCAGGCACATATGTTTCCAGGAGTGAATGGCCTTTGTGTCATTGCTTTTGAAGAGGCCTTCCTCCAGAGTCTGATGAGAGGAGGAGAGGAAAGGTGATATTTGCTGTTGAGAAACTATTTGCACATGAATTATATTCTGGTAGAGAAAAGATGATTTCATCTTTTGAACTGTGAAGATAGTGAAGTATGTGTGTAGTCAAGATCAGAATGTGAATTTGTGCATCTTAAAAAAAAAAAAAAAAATCAATGCAAGAGTATTGGTTTATATTGCCTTGCGTTTTTTAAATACTTGAGATAGATACATGTTGGGCTAATCCAGACAGTTTCCACTGCTGGGATTTTGTTGACTGTTGTTCACTGATGTTTGTCTGAGCGGAACTGCTTCTGATTTACACTTGTTGAAGGGTGGTGAAAAATAGGTGCAGAATTTGTCTGCTATCATCCTCCTTTCCTGTCACTGAAGAGGTAAAACGTGATGTTTGATACAGTCCTGTGGCACTTAGCAGTGCATTAGGTGTACATATAGAAAAATGTAAGTGCTGTCTTTTACAGGAAATTTTAACTAGTCACTTCTGTTTTATATCAATTAGTCAGGAGATTGACAACGAAGTCAGTGCATATGCAACAAGCTGGTTTTAGTCCTGAAGTAACTGTTGACACTAAAGCTTGTCAGATGAGACACTACATTGCTTTGCAATTCCCTATGCTGTTCAAATAATAGAGCAGAGATGTGATTAAGTACAGTATCTGACTGACCTTTCCAGGGCTGGACTGTTGCCTTTTTATTAACAAACAAAACATCGTGTAGTAAGCGATTAGCTCTGTGGCTATAAGAGATTATGAAGAATGACTGCAGGAAGCGATGTGCTTCTTGCAACAGGAGCTTGTCGTGCTCTCAGGCTTCTATGATAAACCATATAAATATATATATATATATTTATACAAATACTTTGTGTGTGTGAGAGATGCTAGAATGTTATGTAGCTCTTCCTATTTTTTTTTTTTGAAGTTGTCTGCCTCACTGCTGTGTATCTGAACAAGAGAGAAAGAAAGTCTCTTTAATTTCCTTTTGTGCTTTGACAGCAGATGGCAATTATGAAATGTTTAACTTTGTAGGTATGACTTCACTGCCAGTACTTGTCCTAGTGCTTTCCTGGCTTGAAAATGCAAGCAGCAGTATGTTCTGTATATCGACTGTGCTCTTACTAAGCATTAAAATAAAATAATATTTTTTTTTTCTCCTGATTTCTTCTGAATGTAGTTTAGGTAATTTGATGGGTGGTGGCAGTGGTAGTCATTAATCAACATTCTGCTCTCCCGTTTAGAAAACTCCTGTTTTTCTGCCCTCCTTCTGCCTTTATGTGCCTGAAGCAGGCCAGTGCCTTCACAGCACCAGCCTTTCTTATTTTTTCCACTCTGTACCGCATCTATTTTATTTGTGCATATGCCTGCTGTGTTTTCATTCCGTTTTGGTTTTGCCTTTATCTGCCTGTGACTGTTTTTATTTTTCCGCTTGAGTCTTTGATTTGAGTGACCTGATAATGCTCATATGTTGCAGGAAAAATGTAATGGCGAGGCATTGGCAGGATGGAGGAGGGTTTGAGTTTCTCTTTTGGTCACGATTTATTGTCTTGGTGTTCCCTTTCCTGGTCCGTTGCGTTCTTTCGCACAGATTCTCAGCTAGTGTTTTTGTCTCGTAAGTTCCTCTCAAAGAACTATCTTTTTCTTTTTTTTTTTTTTTTTCTAAAAAGGCTCTAGTTCACCAGTAAGAGCTATTCCTGATGAAGTGCATGCACCTCATGTAACGCTTGTGTACTGGCTATTAATGTCTGTGTACAGCCGAGCAGTGTAAAAGGCTTGTGCGAAAATGAAAATTGGCAGCTGGATACGTATTGTGTTTTTTTATGTTACGTTTATTTTTTGAAAGTGGATTTCATTACTGTAATTATTTTTTTTTTCCCACCCCCAACTAGCACCCATCTTTGAACTGCCATGTTAAATTGGCATTGTCCAGTAGAGAGAAGCATGACACTGTGGAATTGGGCGCGGGTAGGGAGTAGCTGAACAATCTAATATCTGCGCTTAGTCATAGAGTTATTTCTACTATAAAAGGAGGTCTACATCTTCTTCTTTCTATAGCCAGGGCTTCGTTTTAGCAGGAAAAGGAGAGCCTTGATTTGATATACTGTAAATACTCTCTGAGGTCCAGGAGAAGGCTTCACTATTTACACTGTCAATGTGTTACAACCTGTAAGGGCTAAATGCACCCTAGAAGAACTGGCTCCTCCCACCAGCATGAAGCCAGTTAATGGCCGTACTTTGTTAGCTCTCCTGTGATTGTTCTCGGGTAACGACTGTCTGAAGGTTTTGATTGTGTATGCCAGGTGTTGAGACACCTAATCTAGCCAGGAAGTTTTGTTCTCTTGTAAAGCTGAACAATTACAGCTGTAACAATAAAAGCCAGAAAACGAGTTAAGCACAATTGCATGTAGGGGAGTCCTAAAAGTAAACAGTTTTTTAAAAAGGGAATTTGCAGATAGTAAATACAAATTTAATGATTACCTGGTGCTTTCTTATCTTAATGGCTTTTTGTTTGTTCATTGGTGATGATACTACAGTTCTTTGGTTTTGCATTTCCTACAAATCCTGCGTTCATGCAAAATGGTGAAATTTTCCTTTGGTGAAAAGAATAAGGATCATTTTCTTGTAGTTTAACCTGTCCTATAGGTAAAAGAGGATCTCAGTTTCCAGGACTATCAAATGGTGTTTTGAACATGAACTGTTTTCGCATAAATGGTATTGCTACTTTTGTAATGCGCTGAACATATAGTCTTGTCTCTCTACCTCTTAAAAAATGAACTAGTAGCTATTCTATGCTGAGTAACCTCTTAAGATTGTGACCTTCCATGTGGTGTTTGCTTAAAGAAGTCTATGAATTAAAAAGAAAGTGACAGAAGCAATGAATAAACTGAAAAATGGAACTGATTCTTCTTAATGTTTTAAATACAGCTATTTTGAACTGGAGAGCAGTGGCCTACGGGATGAGATTAGATATCACTACAGGTTTAATGGGAAGTCAAGAACAGAGGTGTTCCCGTACCGTCTGGCAGATGGACAGTGGCACAAGATTGCTGTGTCACTTAGTGCATCCCACCTTCTACTCCATGTGGACTGCAACAGGTAAGAAGATAGGTTCAGTAATTTATATTTATTTAAAAAATACTCTGTACTTATGCACAGTAATAAAATTGGAAAAGGAGAAATCTCTTAAAAATACCTATTTTAAAAAGCATAGTAAACTGCCGTGGGATAAGAAAAGGAAAACAAAGCATTAAAATGAAACAATTCACTGTGATTATGAACAAACGCAGAAAAGGTTGATTGCTGACTGGGGAGTATTAAATGCATCTCTGTAGTGTAGGCACTAGCTGATGTTATGTTTGACTGTGATTGCGTTTAAGTGTGATAGATTGGTGTGCAGTCTGTTCTGTCGTGAACTGCTTCACTCAGCATACCTGAAAACTTGAAGAATAGGTTGATGTGTCAGAGACATTTTAATTTTATTTAACATAATCAAGCAATGCACTTTTTACTGATTTTTTCCACCCGCTGCCTCACTTGGTGACTTCTGAAAGACCTGGAAGCTTCTTCTTCCATGTCTAGAACTGCTTTCTATTTTTTAAAGGGTATTCTGTCTGTTATTGCACTTTTTTCACTTTAAAAGTTGTGAAGACTGCAAGATGGCAGATTGTCAGGATTTCAAGGGATAAATGCAGCAAACCTAGAATCTCTCTTCCCTAGACTCTCTCTTCCCCTGGGACTTGATCTCACAACGTAGTGAAGACTTTGGCTTTTACTAACTTAGTGGTTGATGAGGTAACTCAGAAAACTTGAAATTGGGATCTTTAGGAATGAGGAAAATGATCCACTACTTTTGTGTCTTCTTGCACTGAAATTAGTATAAAAATATCCTTTGCCTTCAGTGAGAAGATCAGCATATGCATTATGGAGTTGTGGCACTTAAATGGATAGGGTGCTGGTAGCAGATATTTCTTTTGGTAGTCTTCGTTTTGTTCAGGCAGGCAGAATAAAGTTATGGGAGTATGTGGTATTGGAATGTTTGACAAAGTTTTGATTTTGACCAAAGTAGTTATGAGATACTGCTTTGAGGAGAAAGATGCAAACATTTTCTGCAACTGCATTAACTACTGACAGTAAAAATCTAATCTGAAGGAAGTTTGCTCATTTTATTTGAACTCTAGAAGCAATTAAATGCTTAGAGCAGTTTTAATTTCATCGAGGCATGAAATCTACAGTTTGTAAAGATCGTCTTCATTTCAGTCATCTGATTTATTAATTTTACTATTATTTGTTTCTGTTATATTGTTTCTTTGCTTACAATAGTATACTTGTTTGTTTATTGACATACTGGGTTTTGGGACAGATTCTTCATCATCTCCTCTTTTTTTTTTTTAAATGAGTTTATTTTATGAACAGCAAATATATTTTAGGAAGGCCCTTTTTATTTTTATCAGATTGTTTTGCTGGCTGCCTTCTTGCACACAATGTGAAAACAGCCTGCCTGGTGGAGAAGTCTATCCAGAGACAAGGGAGCTGCACAGAGTCATGGTTGTGACCTAATTTTCTTTACAGCAACAGGCAGTAATTGATAAATACAATCACAGAATGAGCTATGCTGTCATATGAGGTGATAAATGTGTATGTCTGTCTCTGTTAGGTACTCCTGAACAGGGCTGATCCATCTGAGTTTCCCTTAAGGTGGTATATCTCAAGGCTGCTCCCAGCATAAATCCATACATAAATGCCTCTATTTGACTGTGAATTTGTGGTAATTTATGACAACTCCTGTGGAAGAGTAATGGAATAGTTTTGAAAGAATGACTTGAGGGCAGATCATAGTAGAAGTTTAACTGAAAGAAAAAAAAAGTCTTTAAGTTCCTGACTCAGCTGTAGCATCTCTGTTCAGTTAATTAGAGAATTTTGTGAATGTTGGTGTTATAGTTTCCTTTATTATATCTTATCCCCCTACATCTTTGCACTCAGAAGAGAAGTCAACATCTTGTTCATCTTTGCGCTAACATTTCCTGATGACACTACAATAAATGTCAAAAGATGTGAAAATGAAGAGCAAGCCAATGAGGGGTACTTCTGAGTGCTACTGAAAATCCTAAGCCTTCCTCATGTTAGTGTTAGGAAAGCTGCAGCTGAAAGTATGTGCAGAATCCAGTCTGATGAGCTGTAGACTTTACATGTAAAGGTCACTGTTTTAGGCTAGCGTGATGTCACTGGCTCTCAGCAGAGTTCAGGATGCCTAATGAGAAGCGATACTTCTGCAGACTTAGTTGAAAAAGTAAGTTACAGGGAAAGAAAATACGACTGCGGTCAATAGATTCACCGTCCCACCTGCTGCAGAGATTTGGTGTTATCAGAACAAGAATTTAGCTTGAAATGTACCTATCTAGTTAAAGAAGCTCTGTGCTTTTTACTTACTGTTCTTTCCCCTGTAAAAAATAAAAACACAGCAAAAATGGAAAAAATGAGCAACAAAATTAATCCCTTGGTTTCCTACTGTATTTCTTTAAGGGGGTTGCAACATTCTTTCCTTACAGTTATGTATGAATACCTTACTGCTTTTATATAGGGCTGTGGTAATGTGTTATATGTTTGAAAGGTTATTCTGAGAGATTTGTGAATGCAGTGTTATTAAAGTTAACCTATATTTGAGAGTGCATTGAAAGTGTTTGCATTGGGAAAAATATCCAGCCACAACCTAATTTTGCTACAGGATTTGTATTGATAGCTGAAGCTAGTCTCTGGCCTCCAAAAACTGCAGCGCATCAGAAAGCGTTGGAGACGAAACTTTTAATTTGTAAACAGATAGTTGAGTATACTTTTATTCTTCCCAGCGTTATCATGCACGTTACTCTGATTTGTAAAATTGCTTTGACATTTGGTGCTTGATTGTCTTTTGGATTGAATTCAAAGTTGACTTTGTTTTTCAGACTTCGATAGGTTAGGGAAAAGTACTTGAGAACTGGTAAAAGCCTTTAGTGCTTTTAAGAGTCATCTTTAAAACAGTATAATTGCCTCTGTTCTAATGAGATGTAATATGATGGGGGAGGTTTACGGATCAAAGGAGACATACTTGCCCAAGTACATGTCCTTTTGAAATTGGCTCCCGCTGCATCTTACTTGCTCCTTTTGGTGTTCCTTGAAGAACAAGAAGTGAGAAGCGTAGCTGAGTTTGATGCTAGAGCTTGGAGCTGCTGACACAGGACGAGACATCAGAGTCCAGACTAAAAACCTCTTGAATGTTGCCAGACTCTTCTGACTGACTTGGAGATCCTTTGTGCTGGCCCTAGGCAGTAACATCTGGCCAGGAATACGTAACAGACAACTGGCATGACAAGCAGTGGCTATACTTGCTAATATGCTTTTAACATTCTAGTAAGGTTCCAAAAGCTTAGAAAAATGAAAAGATTGTATTAATTATGAACGTACAACTGATGCACAAGGAAAAGCTGTGCTGAAAGTAACACGGAAATTAAGTACGCTGGTGTTAATTTACTTGCACCTCCAATGCTCAACCTGCTAGTAGCTAACAAATCTGTTTCAAAATATTGGTTATGTGTAGAATCTGTGCTCCTCTTCTCTAGGGAAAAGAGGGTTGTCAGGGGCTTTCTGGTGAGTGTTTAGGTTAAGCTAGAGCAACTGTCATTGTCAGGTCCTTAAATAACCTATGGCATTAAAGCGTTCATATATAATGAAGTAAACTCTGCTCTGCACCTTCCCAGATTTGGCCTCTTAGGGAAGCAGAGGTGAAGGATCCTGCTGTTCATACCTGTGTTGTTAGGAGATTCGCAACCCCAGGAGACTGTCATAGGGCCTACAAGAGCTGGCGTTTATCTTCACTGGGAATTAGTTTTGGCTGTGGAGTCTCTAATATTGCCCATGGTACCTGACTGTCCGCTGCAATGCTTGCCCCCTACAACAGTAACAACACAGAAAAGTGTTACTTTTAATAGTGCTAAGAGAAGAGTGAGGGAATAGTACAGAGCCTACAATTTAAGAGGTGGTAGGTACTGTATCAAAATGTATTTCTCGACAATTTATTTAAGAAATATAAATTTCAGATTGCCCTCAGCGTGTCTAATTAATCTGGGGAGGTAAGCTTGAAGGCTGCTTGCTTTATATTTTTGTTATTTCTCATCAGCCATATTGCTACAAAGGTACTTACCTATCCAGACGGTATCAGTATTCCTTTACTTGAACTCTGTCTGCAGGTGTAAAAGGGAGAAAGGCACTTTGCTGCAAAAATTAATGCTTTCCAGTGAAAATAGGTGCTGGAGTGCCTTTTACTATGAATGCAGCCTGTGGTTTTGATGGATTCTCTTAGCTGTTTGATGGAGGGGGTTGGTAAGAGCGTTAAGAGAATAGATTATAAAACTGGAGCAGGCTAGGAAGTAGTCTCCAACTGAAAAAACATGTTGTCTACGTCTTTTATGTTTCTCCTGATAGAACAGAGCATTAGAGAATAAAAAATGCATGAGCAGTGAAAACTTTTTAATTGGAAAAATAAATAAATTAAAGCAACATAATCCAAATATGGGAATCCAAGACCTCTGAGTTCTTATAAATAAGATATTCTGGCTGCCAACCTGAGGTTTTCAACTTATCTAAACAAAGTCCTATGACTTTAATTAAAATGTAATAAATTTAAAGAAGGTTAAGGGATGCATTTAAAAGAGGGATTCACTGCTTTACTTACTGTAAAACACTTTCTCTCGAGAGAGGAGATGGCATGGCAGTAGTGTTATGCAGCTAGGTAATTTACTCTCAACATTTGAATACGATTTTGTGACCCAGATTGCTTCTCTGCTCTTTAAGCTGTAGCAGAAGCTGTCAGAGAAATGTTTACTTGGGTAGAGAGCTATAATTGTACATTACAGGTGCACCCAACTTCAGTTCTGTGGTATTGTGGATTGGAAGTTAATTTTCACCTACTGATTGTCCCTTTTGTTTGACAGAAAGGCTATAAACTTTTTAGTGTAAGAGAGATCTCCAGCTGGCATATCACATCAGCTGCTGTCAGGCCTGTATCATTACAGTTATTGTAGTTAAGCTGTAAGGAAGTGTTCCAGATGCATTCAGCATTAGTT